CCGCGGGCCGCATAACGTGCCCAGGGGGAAAGAGGGGGAGAGGCGGCCGGGGAATGACGGCCTCCGCCATCTTAATTCCCGAAAGGCCTGCCGGGTAATCTAAGATGGCGGGGCGGCCTCGGCCCGAATCGGGCTGCCCGGCAGGGAGTACGGCTGCCCCACGGCGCGACGGCCCGGCGGCTTCGGCCCTGCTCCGGTGCGGAAGACCGGTGGAGGCCGCCGCGTGAGGTGAGTTATGGCTCGGGGACTCCCGGGGGGAGAGAAGGTCGCCTTGAGGGGACCGAGGCTGAGGCGAAGAGTTCCCCGAAGGGCGGGGCCGGAAGCGCTCTCTCAAGCCCCTCCGTCCTGCCTTCAGAACCCCGTCGGGCCCTTGTTCTTTAGACGCCTCGCACGTGCCTTTGTATGGGAAGGGGCGCTCGCGCACGCGCGTTGACATGCGTGCGTAGCAAGCAGCCTTAATTTCTATGATGGTTCTTTTCCTTTTAGAAAGATCACGAATTTGCATGTAAGGTGCACACGCGCCCTGTTTGCACGCAACCAGGAGCAATTTTCGTTTTTATTTTCCTTTTAGGCAGACACATGAGTTTATGAGATAAACACACGTTTCATTTTAACCAGCAGCAATGTTTATTATTTTTATTTTCCTTTTAGGCAGACAAACGAGTTTGTATGTAAGATACACATATTTGCACGCAGGCATTGTAACTAGCAGCAGTTTTTATTATTTTTATTTTCATTTTCATAAGTATATTTATTTTACATTTATATTTTATATTTAAATTTTATTTTTTTAGACAGACATGAGTTTATCAGATAAGCACACACATTTGCACACGTGCATTTTAACCAACAATTTTTATTATTTTTTTAGACTCACCCATACGAGCATGTATATAGAAAGTACACATACGCTTGCACATGCATTTTAACCAGCAACAATTTTTATTAACTTTTTAGGCACACACATCTTTGTATATAAGATACATGTGCATATATATTTTAAGGAGCAACAATTTGTGTTATTTTTATTATCTTTATAAACAGAAACACATAGGTATGTATATGCGGTACAAACATTTGCACACATGCATTTTAACCAGCAACAATCACAGAGATGTATACTTATAGGTAGATGATACAGATAGTCCTTCACTTATGACCATTTGTTCAGTGACCATTCGAAGTTATGGCAATGCTGACCAAAGGGACTTATAACAAGTCCCTGAAGTTATGGTTGTTGCAGCGCCCCCCACGGTCATGTGATTGTGATCTGGGCACTTGGCAACCCATTTGCACTTACGACTGGTTGCCAAGCACCCTGCAATCACATGATCGCCATTTGCAACCCTCCCTGCCAACCTCTCCAGAAAGTCAGTGGGGAAGCTGGCAGGCAAGGTCACAAGTTGCTGGGGTAAGTCTCCCCCACCTGCACGCCTCCCCCAGCCCCTCTGTGCTTGTGCCACACTGGCCACTCGCACACTCCCACGCATACTTCCCAACCCACGCAGCACCCCAACACTGTGACGGAATGGAATTATGAAGGCCAAGCTCAGGGAGATAAGCATTTTCTTAGCTCACCGGAACAGCGTGGGAGGATCAAGAGGATGAGACTGGCACCTCCCTGAGGAATTCACACTGTTGTGGCTGGGGGACTTTTTGGACTGGGATTTTAGTTTGGGAAGGATCTTTCTAGGGGGTGTTGGTAATTAACAAAGC